GTTACGTGTGGTCAAGAACTATTCGAAGGCCAGGCTCAACGTGTTGCGCTTCTTGAGGGGCAGGCTGAACCCCAAGACGAGCAGCCTGCTACATAACTGGGCCCTGGTCCGCAGTCACGGGTTTTCCAAGCACGTGTTGGGCGCAGGAACAGACCTGTTGAAGCAATGTCATCTCTCCTGGCCGAAGCCCCAGCCGCAGCTTCATTTTTCCAAGCTTGTGTTGACGCAGCAATCGATGCTTCGATGAACTCTTCGATACTCTCACCATAGACGGGTCCCGCCGCTAACCACGTGTCATTGTGCTCTCCGTTGGGAACATCCAATCTCCATTTAAAATTCGAAGTACAGGCCTGCAAAGAAGCAGCACCGCACCTTACCGAGCCTCCGTGGCCGTGATGAACATGAAAGCGGTCAGAAGGCACTCCACATTACAGCTTGAAGTTTGCATCGCATCATTACGAAACATAGTATACCCCGCTCATCATGAATGAGCTTATATATTATATATATATATATGTATATATATATATAATATATATATAATTATTTTGCCCCCCCGAAACACCATACGGACGCTGACTACACCTAAAGCACTCACATGGTAGAGCTTATCCATCTGGGAAGGAGGTACGAGCGAGTCCTTGCCACCCGAAATAAAAAGCACCGGTATGTTCAACCTGCGAACTTTCTCTTCACTCTCCAGTTTCATCCGCTGCAAAACACCCACGGAGCTCGGTATTACTCATCGCTGTCTGTTCTTCAAGCTCCACAGGTAGTGAGAGCAAGCCAGTGTTAGTTATATATGCACACACTTAACGTGTTCCTGAGCAGCTAACCCTATCCAAAGTGGTGATAAGCGATAGAGATGTGGAAGCTTACCTGAATGATATTCAGCAGCCAATTCAGTTGGCGCGTAAAGCCGCACACAGTATGAACCATATCACGCAACGAGGTAAATGTGTTCTCCACAACTACTCCTTTGAGCTGCAGCGCAGCAGCCAGAAAACAACAGAAAATACGTGCATAGTTTCACGCCAAGCAGAATTCAATAGACAGCTGCATGGTGCCAGTTCACAGAACCACATCACCAGTGTTATATACTACGAAGTGATAGACAAGCAGTAGGCTGAAGACGAAAGCTACAAGTGACCCCACTTCGTTTCCTCTGCGGCTTGCGAGATCAATGGCAACGGCGCCACCCAAGCTATGACCAAATGCAAATATATTTTCGCTGTCCACCAGTGAACTGTTCAAAAGGAAATCCAGGGCAGCATCCGCGTCTGCGTAAACCCCTTTCTCTGTGGGTGTTCCCTCGCTATTCCCGTAACTGCAAAGGTAATCAAAAGAGAAACAAATAAAAACAATTAAGCGAAGCACTGATGGTGGACATTGATAGCCATTCATCTTCCTACAGCACATGCATGTGCTGCACAAGCGGCAATGGTTGGCTCCGAAGTGTAGGATCAATACAATTTGACAAAAAACTACTGCTGCTTGTGCTACTGCTGGTGCTACTGCTGCTGGTGCTGCTGCTGGTGCTGCTGCTGGTGCTGGATACCCTCTGTAATCGAGCAGCAGAACATTCACGCCAGCGGCTCTGCGAATGTGGTCTGCATGGTTCAGATGAAACCCCATATCTGCAGACGAACAGAGAACAGTAAAAGCAAAATACGTGCGAGTGAATGTTGAGATGTCAACGCATACTTATACAATATGGATGCTCATACTACATATAATACATATATAATA